ACTGCTAACCAGAAGGCTGGTGGTTCAAACCCACCAGCCACTCTTCAGAAGGAAGATTGGGCAATCTACTTCCATAGAGATACTGCCTCAGAAACGCAAGGAGGGGTGGCTATGAGTCTGAAAAGGACTCCACTGGTCGGGAGAAAGTTGTTTTTTTAAAACATCTGAATGTCCTTCAGGGAAGGAAAAGTATCTTTTTTTCTTTGTATTACCTGTATCAAACTTGGAGTTGGAGACATAGTTAATGATTAATTCATGTTTCATAAGTGAATAAACAAAGAGAAGTTGAACAAGTATTTGTTAATTGACTCTTTCATTGATTGATCCACCAACTGAAAGTCTTTCCACCATAGTAGACTGGGGTTCTGCCCTTTGGAAATGTCCCCAAAGCTCTTCTGTAAATTGTTGATTGAGACCAGAATCATCCCAGAGGGCATTTCTGGTTCTTAATAATAATTTAGAATTTGAGGCATTCAGTTCTGGCCAAGATAAAGTAGAAGATACACTGCTAAAATTCAACCTCCCTTCTAGCAAATGATGTTGTTGACTAGAAAAACTAGGTCATAAAATATATTGGAAAATGTATGCGGTGTAGTAAATTACATGGTATGGCTTTTCTAGCCATAGTCTTTGTAACTCCCCTTTTGCTGTGAGTAGTTGATTGTTAAAATTATCCACTTAGTGTATTTCTGTTGGAGCAGCAGGAAACAATTTTCTGGGAAGTTTGCTCTCTCTCAGGTGTATAGAAATCTGATGTTGGAATTGGTTGGTTTTGGCCACTCTACCAGGCTCAAAAGGAGCCCTCCTAGAGGCAGAGGGAGTCTCTCTGACTGCTGAGAGAAAGAGACGTGCTGCTGATAGAGACGGGCTGCTGAGAGAGAGATGTGAGGAATGCATTTCTGAGAGAGAGATGTGAGAGACACACACTGCTGAGAGAGAGATGCGAGAGACATGCACTGCTGAAAGAGAGACAGCAGGCAGCTGAGAAAGATGCCCGGCTGCTGAGTGAGATGGCCGGCTGAGACAGATTGAGTGCATTCTTGAACTTGAATTGGAGCCTATTGCTTCCCTAATATACCCCATAATCTGTGAGTTCTGTGTGGTCACCGCAGCTAATTATTGAACCCAGCAGAGAGGTAATGGGTGCTGCAGGAGGAATGGTTGGTGTCAAGGATGATAAGAGGCCTGGAGGGTGGCGGCATGTCTGGCTTCATAAGAACATGCCTTGGGCTGCTGATGTTGGTTCTGTCTTCCTCTTGTGTAGTTAGAGAAGGTCAGAAGATGCCACCTCCTTGACCCTATGACAATGTAATAGATAACTTTTCTCACTTTTAATCTGTTTAAAAGATAATGACTGTTCACAGAAAACAAACAATGCATTAATGACACAAAAAAGCACGGAAGATGAGAGGTGATAAATGAAATGGGTATCTATTGTTGAAAGGATCCTGTATTTTATGTGAAGTGTGTTAACAGGACTAGAAAGTAGTTAGTGATACATGAAAGATTTATATTTTAAATATTAGAGCAACTCCTTGCTCTTAAACAGAGAGTCCAACCCAAGAAAACCAAACTCACTGCCATCAAGTCGGATCCAACTCATAGCAACCCCTCCTTGGGTTTCTGAGGCAGTATAACTACAGAAGTAGATTGCCTAATCTTCCTTCCAAGGAGTAGCTGGGGTTTGAACCACCAGCCTTCTGGTTAGCAGGCAAATGCCTTAGGCAAACAGAAGACTGCAAAGAGCAGCTTGAGAAGACAAAGTCAATTATTATAATGAAATATGCAAAGACCTGGAGATAGAAAACCAAAAAAGAAGAAAATGCTTGGCATTTCTCAAGCTAAAAGAACTGAAGAAAAAAACTCAAGCCTCAAGTTACAATACTGAAAGATTCTGTGGGGAAAATATTGAATGATGCAGGAAGCATCAAAAGAAAATGGTAGGAGAGAGTTCCGGCGAGATGGAGGACTAGGCAGAAAGACTGCACAGACCCTCTTCAACAAAGAAAAGGGAAATCAATTAACACAGACAAAGAAGATGATCCTGGACCCCTGAGCCTTGAAGGGAAGGATATAGAAGTGAACTAACCCCCAACTAGCAGAAGAATTTGCGGGAAAATACCAAAAAAGGAGACAGAAGGAGCTGCGGTCTGGCAGAGAGCCTGAGCGATCCTGACGGCACAGACAGCTTGCAGCTTCCCGTGTGCTAGTAGGACTTAAGAATTAACCTAAAAATCAGCCCTGCTAGCCAGGGACTGCACAGACACCTGCT